CTGTATTTCTACTAAGTATGAATGGTTCTATTTTATTTCCTTTTGCTTATTTTCTCCAAAGCCAAAAATTGCATATTTCTCTCAGTGCCATGGGCTGAATCTGGGCCTTGAACTCTACCGCTGAGCCATATCCCCAGGCCTATATGCTATTTTTTTCATTAATTTTATTGGTACATTTTAGGTATATAACATGCTGATATTCATTATTGGGAATTTTTACCTTTACATAATATATCTTGGCCCTATATTCTATTTTTAATTAATTAGATAAGCATGCCCTTTTAAATGCACTGTTGTCATTTTTCATAGTTCCCTCCCCATAGAAAAGAAATTATCATTTAAAATATTCTTTAATGCTTAAAGAAAGAAAATTGTCCTAAAGATAAAATTATTTGTGTTCTCTTGTAATTCTAGGAAGATTTAGTTCTCCCTTTATTAGAACTCTTGCTTACTAAGGACTAATTAGAAAAGGTTAGGCCTGGGGAAATCTGTGCTTAAAAAACAAAACAAAACAACAACAAAAAACACTTCCTGGCAAGGTACTTCCCCTTGGGATATTTGCTACTACTAGCAATTACCTTGTTAAAAAGTTACGTAGACTATGGCCATTACAGACTACTTTATAGCTTACCCTGAACACAGCAGATAATTTAAAGGTTTAACTGTCAAAATTTTTGTTTTCAGGGCTGGGAATATAGCTCAGTGGTAGATTGCTTGTCTAGTATGCACAAGGCCTTGGATTCAACCCCCAGAACAGAAAAAAAATTGTTTTCAAATTTACAAAATAAATTTGGTGAGCATTTACCTGGACTCTTTACTACACAAAAGCTTTCATTGGTTCCCTTGACCAGATTCAGGACAACAAATAACATTATTTATATGAAACTGTCCATACTCTCTAAGTTCTAAAATAAGTTATCTTTAAAAATTTTAACCTCATGCTATTTGAAAAATAAAAAGTCTACAGCACCATCTTCTGAAAAGGCACTTTCTAAGAACCACCTTGCTTTAAAAAACGTTTTAAAAATTTAGTTCAGAGTCTACCCTGAAAAAAAGTCTTTGCTTCACTTAAACCCTAACACAGAATATGACATTAGATTTTGGTTACTTCAGGCATTGGTTTTAAAAAGGAAGGGGACCCAATGGCTGGAACAATGCTTCGTTACTTGATAGGGATTTTCATCTCAACCCTCCATATTAAATTTTTTATCTTTAATTCAAATTAAAATCTTTAACTTTCATATACTTTAAGAACAAAAGACTCTTGATATTTAGTCAACAATGTAATAAGCTACAGCACTATTTTTGATGGGTAAAGTAAAACAAATTTAAATTAGCTGTGCCTATCAGCACAAGCCTTGATTATTAAAAATTATGTCGATATAAAAATTATAAGCTTAAATGTACCATTTTAAAGTAGGTAAAAAGTAACAATGTTTTCCTTTTTATGTGTAATGTAGCCATCTATCCATTATATATATATATATATATATATATATATGCGATGTATATACATATACATACACACATAAACATTTCCCTCCCCTCTAGGACTCGGCTCAGCTTTTTTTTGTACCAGGGATCAAACTCAGGTTCTTGTGCTTGTGAGGCAGGTGGCGGCCCCACTGAGCTAAATCCCTGGCCCCTCAGCTTTCTTTTAATCACAGCATCCTTTCTATCACTGTCATTGAAGAATGTTCTTACTATAAGTAGAAATGTAAAATAATGTTTTTGAAGAAAATACTGTTTTCTGTACTGACTCTTGCATATTTATGCTTGGGTTATTTTTTGACCTCTATAGAATCACAAAAGTGCTTTCTTTACATGATCAAATGCAAGCAAAATAGGCAAACAGAGATATCCCCTAAATTGGGGTTATACTGCTACTCAGGAACGCCTTATCAGTCTCCAAACTATCATTATTGAAGTTTTAAAACATCCACAAATTTTCAAAAAGAACTTATATTTCAAATGGATAAAAAAGCCAAATTAAAGATACTGTACTAACTGATATCTTTTTACATCTTGATGAACACATAAGAGGTAATTTAAGTAGCAGGAAACTGTTAAGGGTAGTCTTTCTCTCCAACAGGAGAAAATCTAAGAGGATGAGTTAAGGAAACACTTAACTAAGGTTTAATGATACTGAGTGAAAGTTATATAGAATTGTCAGTTAAACGTGGCAAAACATTACCATCAATTTTGAAGTAGGAAGACTACAAAACACTTTATCCATGTTCAGGCAGCTAGCTTCCTACATTTCATTAAAACCACTGCCTTTGGCAAAGTGATGCAAACTTCTGAAAAGAGTTATCATGTTTTTTGGAAAAGTCTAATCCTCGGCTTCTGACCTAATCCTGACTGAGTACTCACCCTTTCCTCTGACAGAGATCATTTGCCAGCTCTTTCTACTGAACAGCAGCTTGGCTTTTATTTCCCTAGAATATCTTAAGTCTTGCCATGACTCTAAGTCTGTCGGCTCTATCTCCCTAAGATCCATTAGAGAAGACACAAATTAATTTTAGGCTGTGGTGGGTCACAGAGAACCAGAAAATCAGTCCCAGTATTTAGAAGGCTGGCTGTCCCTGTTGAATTCATAGTGAGGGTCTTGCTTCTAAAACACTCAAGAAATTCCTACCAGAATCTTTCTAGAATTTCTTCTAGGAAGACAAATAAATTAACAGATTATAAACAGGACCACTTCCATAGACTAGTTTTTCCAAGAAACTTGTTAAAGAGTAATTATTAAAAAGAAAGGGCATTTGTATTTCTGTGAAAATGTGCCAAAAACCAGTACTGAGGAGGCTGAGGAACCATTTCTTTTTTTCTTCTTCTGGTACTGGGGATCAAACTCAGACCCTTACGTTTGTGAGGTAGGCGTGGTACCACTGAACTAAATCCCGGGCCCAAGAAATCCTTTCTTAAACTGTAAAAGTAAGAAATTTGCATTTCTAAAACAAGGGTATTCTGATATTAAATTGAAACTAAAATGCTATTACCCTTTATCACCTTAGTATTTCACGACTTTACTCTTATTTCGAAAAACAATAAAAAGGGTCTAACACTAGCCTTCAATCCTGCTCATCTCATTATTGTTTAGTGCAGTATATTATCAGACTCTACTTAAATATAGCAGCTACTACACAGTACTATAAATGTATAGTCCTCAATGCCAGTAACTCGATACTGTAATATAATGACATACATTAGCACCTCACACAGACATATTTACCATCAAGAACATACATTAAACTTCCAATTCTTTTTTTTTTACAGCTCTGGGGATGAAACTCAGTGCCTCACACATGCTAGGTAGATGCTCTGTCAATGAGCTATAGCCCCAGCCCAAACTCTCAACTCTTATTCATATGAAAATCAATTTTACAGTTGCTGGGATGGTTATTTTAAAGAAAACAGGAGATCAAATTTAGCATTAATCATACAGTTAGGCAGGGCAAGGGTAGGGGTAGAAAGGTCTCTGAGTTTCACGATGCTTAAATAAAAATCAAAAATAACAACAAAACCAATCTTTTCTTTTTAAATAAAAAAGATCAGGAATTCTGCTCAGAAGTACAAAAACAATTAGAACAAATTTCAAGAAGTATTTGCCATCTAGCCTTTCGTACTAAAATTCTAAGCATGAGGTTTCTTACAATTACAATTAAAATTTGGTATACCAACTTGTAAAGTTGCAAAGTAAGCAAAGTAAAAATATTATATATATTATATATATTCTTCCAAGTTAATCAATCATAAACTAGCAATTCTGAATAGTGTAAGAGCACTTTATAAAAAAAAATCACAAGGTAAAGTTTTATATTTTAGAAAAAATTATTTTTCCTTTTAAAAATGTCCTTCCAAATACATTTAAATCAAGGGCTGTACATGTGTGAGACTAAGTGACTGGAAACAGGTAAAGCAGTAACTAGGTAAACAGCATCCACAGTTGATCCCTAAAGTTCCCCACATGAAAATGTGCAGTTACAATAGACAACAGATGTTTTAGTTATACTGAGCAAGCAGGTATCAATCAAGATTTTACCATATATGACACACTGCTTTTTTCTTTTGCCCATGGTCTCCTGACCATGTTTAGTGATATTTCAATGTAAAAAAACAAACATAGCTGGCTATGGTGGTATGCACCTGTAGTACCTGCCACTGGGGAGGCTGAGGTGGGAGGACTGCTTGAGCCCAGGAGTTTGAAACCATTCTGGGCAATAAGATGCTGCCCCCAAAAGTAAAACAAAACAACACCCCCCACAAACAAAACAAAATAAAAAAGCAAAACAAGTTTCAAAGGAGTTTTTTTAGTGAGTGACGGGAGATGACTAGAAGGAAAAATGTATATACTATACAAATATTATCTTATGTAAAGTGCTTTGAAATTGCATTTCAGATACTTCAAAATAATAAACATAGAAAATACAGTACTTTTTAAGTTTTCTGGCAAAGGGACAAAAGATGTCATGCCTGTTGGAGGACATGGGCTCAGATTTTAGGCTCAAAATACAGTAAATTAGCAATAATAGTGTATTACAGGTAAGAGAGAAACTAAAGATGTAAATTCATTAGTTTTTAGGTGCAGATGGAATTCTGAAAGGCTAACAACAATGCCCACTGGAAACAACCTGTGGTATGTATACTTTGAACCAGTGTAAAAATATACCCCCCGACCAAAGGAAAACCAAACATAATCCCCAAAATGCAATTTTCATGAATTACAAAGTACCAAGTTCCCCTGAGCCCAGTATTATTGATGAGCCAGGTTTTGACAGCTTTATAGTACTTTTTAATATCTTAAAGTGAAATCATAAAACAAAAGTTTTGTAAAAAGTTTTCCTTGCATTTCAATGATTGAACTCATTTAAAATGCTCAAAGTCCTAATGTCCTTTGTCCCTATCACCTTCATTTTAAAAAGCAAGTTCATTTGTGGTAAATCAGCAAAAAAACCTTTTAAAAATAAAATCCTGTATTTTCTGGATTAATTTTAGTAAATGAAATTGGGGACCTATCAGTATTATTCTTCAATAATTATCTACTTTTAAATAATTTAGAAACTTAGGTCTTAAACTGTTTACCATCATTTCTTAAAGCAAATATTTTACTTCATTTTCATTATGATTTTTAAAAGACATGCATTAAAATTGAAAATTATGAAACTTTCCTTCTGAAATTAAGGCTGTATTACTTTGCCATTTTAAAAACAATGGAGGTGCCTGTTTCTCCTACTATCCATTATAATGGTGTCAAATAGACACACTTTCCTTTAAAACTGCTTATTGCACTAAAAAATAGCAAAAAACAAGTTGTAAGTTCTTAAAGTAAACATGATTATATTTCTATAAAATATGGTGCCAATACAATTCTGTAATTATTAAAGCACTATTCTAATAAATATAAAAGAAAAGGAAGCTATATTTCAAAACACATACATATATATTTATATATACATACATATATATAAAAATATATATATATGAAAATCACATTAAAGTATGAGGCAGCAAGTAAACTAGCAAAAACCAATCCCTCCATAAACTTTAGTCTCTCTCCACACAATTTCAGAGGCCTCAACCCTACAGAATTCCAATCTTTTAAAATGTTTACCTTATGTATAACTCAGAAACAGAAGGCTTTAGAATAATATCATATATCAGAGAGAAAGGGTTAGAACTTCTGACAAGGTTTTATATCGATAGCAGCTTCAACAGACTAAAGAAAAAGAATACTTTAGGTTGCTACTGTTTATGTACACATTGCACAAATGGCAAATATAAGTTCAGAGCAGGAGGAACACACGAAAAGCAGTATCAAGAAGACTCAGAATTGTGTATGAAACAGCAGACAGACAGAAGTAAGGTGTGCAAAATAAAAATAGAAATGTAGTTTGCTACGATTCACATTCAAATGAGACACACATATGAATATCTGAATGTCACTGGTAGCATTAGAAATAAAATGTAGATGATGAAGGCAGAGGAGGTAAAGAGAGATATAATGGTGGTAGTGAGCAGAAAATAAAAGGGAAAGAAAATTCTCTAATGGAATGAACCATAAAATATATACATAGATGCATATATATCTATCATCAATACAGATTCAGATATATATGCATATGAAGTATGCATGTATACACTTAAAAATACAGACTCCTTTTACAAGAATATATGAATGCACATTAATTTTTTGCACACATAATTGTGAACAATCACTGATTATTTGTGTAGGTGTTTTTTAAATCATCATTTACTTTTGCTTTACTTTTTTTTGCAAAGATAGTTGTGCTGCCAAGCAACTTGAGGTAAAGGCATTAAAAGGGTTAGACTATAAGAAGAGAAAACAAAACAACTGTGATACTTCCTACAGGAGGCCACACAAAAAGCAGCTGGCTGGTTTCATATTGCATAACGGTGCTGCGTTTCTTGATGAAGTAAACAATCTTCCTTGTTGTCAATAAAAGGACCAGGCTCCCACACAGTGCTGGCTTCTGTATGGCTGGAGGCGGGTCTATTTAACTGACTACTGGAAACATACGTTGTATGTTGATTGATCTTTCAGTTCTTCTTCTTAGAGAACACACTTGGACTTGTTAAGCAAAGTACATTGTACGTAAGGTATCTTGGTGAATCTGTACAGCCTTGGCAAGAGCTTGTGGATCTCGCCCATTGCTCTGTCCTGAAACATGGCTTCCTTCAGCACTGTAACAAAAGTGGCAATGAATAAAAAATGACCACCTATTCAGATAAAATAATTCTGAAGAATAGTACTCATAGAAAATTTCAAAAATATTAAAAAAAAGAGAATGGTGTACTGAATTATGTGTCTACTGACTAAGCTTTACTAATTAACTCAGAGCCAATTTCATTTTACTTCATTTATTTCCATGGGGTTAATAGGAAGCAAGTCTAAGACATTGTATCATTTTATCTTCATCTGTATTTTGCTTCTGGTAGTACCAAAAATCTTTCCCTTGGATTAACTTTTTTTTGTGGTACCAGGGATTGAACTCGATCTTGCTCTTGTAAGGCAGGCATGGTGCCACTAAATGAGCTAAATCTCTGGTACTCCCTTGGATTAATTTTGTAAATCAACTAAATTACTGTATCATTCTATTACTACCAGGTCTAGCCAGCATATATTAATAAAATATCTTACTTCGGGCAGTCAGTTCTACCACCACTTTTCACATGGCTCACTGACTTTGATAACCTGTGAAACTTTAATTCTAAATAGCACTACTTTATTGAAAATAGAGGAGCACATACTTGCATGGAAGTACTCAGAGAATTTCTTACATAAATCAGAACACATTTGAATTTGTTCTTTTTTGTTTGGTACTGGGGACCTAACTCGGGTCCTTGTGCTTGCGAGGCAGGAGGCAGAACCATTGAGCTAAATCCCTGGCCTCTGGATTTGGTTTTGAATGTATTTTTCATGGTTCTACATTACCTGTCATGCTCTTTGTCCACGAGATGGTATCTGGCTCTGAATGCCACCAGATGAGCATAATATGCTGGTGCAGGTATAGAAACAGATCGTGTACACCGCACGTAAGTGTGGCAGAGCTGGTAAGTTAGCAGTTGAAGTTCATCTGCAGTAAAGCAGTTATCGTCCCATAAAACGTGATAGTGTGAAGGACGGCTGGTACCCTACGGAGAAGGCAATGGCATATGGCTGATGTTTAAACTTTTAAATAAATAAATCAGCAGAGAGTAGCTTTGTATGTTAATCAGGAAAGCCATTATACATTAATAATCAATTAAAAACAGTTGATTTGTAATATACATCCAAAGCGAGAGCAAGAATTTAAATACATGTCTGCACACCTATATTTATAGTAGCATTATGCACAATAACCCAAAAGTGGAAACAACTCAAGTGTCTACTATGGATGAATGGATACAAAATGTAGTATAAAGGGCTGAAGATGTGGCTCAGAGGTAGAAAGGATGCTTAGCATACATGAATTACTGGGTTTGATCCTCAACACTACAAAAAATTGAAAGATTTTTGGTTTTGTTGTTTTATTTTTATGAAAGAGAAACTAGTCAGGTGTGGTGGCACACACCTGTAATGTCAGCATTTGGGAGGCCGAGGCACGAGGATTACTGCAAGTGCAAGGCCAGCCTGGGCTACATAGTGAGTTCAAGGTCACAAACAACAAAATACATTTTTGCTGGGGAGACATTGGGGGTTGTAGCCAGGGCCTTTATGTGGAACTATATATCTTCAGCCCCTTTTATTTTTGAGACATAATCTTGGCAAGTTGCTAAACTGCTATGCTGGGCTCAAATTTTTGAGCCTCAGCCTCCTAGAGGTTGAATTACAGGTGTGCACACCATACCTGGTCTATGTATATTTGTTAACCTATACAAACCATTCAGTTGAGCAGTATGTGCCAGTTCTATGTAAGTTACTATGAATTCAAAGAGAAACAAAGTTAAGAGTTTCTTGTCTTTGGAAAACAATTTAGTAGAGAAGACATCATCTACAGTAAACTATTAATGGTACAGTAGTATTTTTGGTGGTATATAAGTCTATATGAGAATTTCAAAGAAAGTAATTGTGGGGGTGAGCATGGGGCGCTTCATCAAGGTGGGAATTTGTTTTTTTCTAAGGTGAGGTGAGGTGAGGACTGACAGGAATAAACAGCCTTACAAAAAGCATGGTAGGGCATGACATCTTGGCATATTTGGCGACTAGATAATAGATTACTATGAGTAGAGCAGGGCATAAGGGAAAAAAAGTGAAGGTGAAAAGAAAGTTTGGAATTAGACTGAATGACAAACTTAGGAATTTGGAATTTCACTCATAAGTACAGGGAAAAACACTGCAGAGTTAGGAAAGCACTATTAGTCAGGTAAATATTTAGGAACAATGAGTTGGGGTTTTACAAAAGTAACATTAATAATATAGATGAGGGATTAGAAGAGCTTCAAAGCACAGACAGCAGATAGAAGGCTGTAGCATTTGCTTTTTGGCAGAAACTAAGAAAATGGTAGTGCCCATGGAGAAAAGGAAAAGGATAATCATATTTCAACACATATTCGTATTATTTGTTAGATGCTATGCAACATTTTTGGGCTTGGTATACTTGTAATGTGAGCTACTCCTCAAACTGAGGCTGGAGTATCCCAAGTTCAAGGCTAGCCTGGGCCACACTTCTCTAGATCCTGTCTCAAAACAGGGTTGGGGTGGGGGCTGGGGACGTAGCTCAGTGCTTGCTGTGTTTAATACCCAGTACCACAGAAACAAAAACAAAGGAAAATAATTTTTGAGTATTTGCAATGCCATGCCACACACATTTCAGTGATGAGAGACATATAAACATAAACAAAACCATCAGAAATTGGGCTAGAAAGAATTAAAATATAGGATAGTATGGAAGGCCATGTCTATAGGTATTTTAGACTAGGTTATCAGGTAATGCTTTTCTGAAGAGACACAGAAGTGAGTTCTGAATGTTAAGGAGGAAGAGAGGTCAGGGGAAAGAGCATTTGAGGTATAGGGAAGGGGCAGAGCAAAAGTTCTAACTACAGTATATGGAATTCATTCATTTCTCTCCATTTGCCATTCTAGCCCCAAACATCAACATCTTTTGCCTGAACTATGGTCACAGACCCCTAATGTTTCTACTACCATTAGTGCTCATCAGTACAATATGTATTTTATTAGAATGAATTAAAAACAAAATAAAATAAACCATGTAACACCTAGGTTACTGTCCAGTCTTTAATGGCTTACTACCTCACTCAGAACAAAATCCAGATTACCTGTATCCAACAAAGCCTACATGATCCAGTCCAGCCCGCCTCTAATCCATGCACATGCTACAGTAACAGCCTCCATTTCATTCCTTCAATGGATATTTTTCCACCAGAAGGGCCTGTACATATAGTTCTAACAGGAATTATCTTCTCTGTTCTTGGTTTGGTGACTCAAAATCTTAACTTAAAAGTCTTTTCTCAAGGAAGCTTTCTTGTGGTTTCCCAAAGTAAGTCAGGTAGCCATTAAGATCTCTCCTTCTATTCCTTTTTTCTGTTTTGGTTTTTTGAGACAGAGCCTCACTATGTAGTTGAGACTGACTTGGAACTCACTATGCAGCCCAGGTTGGTCTTGAACTCACAGTGATCCTCCTGCCTCAGCCTCCTGAGTGCTGGGATAACAGGTGTGTGCCACTTTGCCCAGGTATTCCTTGCTTTTTAAAAATTACACTTTCCCCAATTTGTAAATATGTGAGAGTATTATGTATTTGTATTATTTACTTAATGCCTCTTCTAATAAACTAAAAGAGGAAAGGATGCTATTTATGTGTTCTTTCTATGTACCTAGAGTAAATGCACATTTCTTAAGAAGCATAATAAATATCCAGTGACGGGGGAGCAGCTATCTGTTGACCTGTTGGCCTCTCCAGATGGGAAGGCTCAGCCCACAACTCCCCATCCCTACCCCCACCACAACGAAAGAACAACTGGTTTTTAAAATTTTATACAGTAAAAATCAAGACTGTTCTTTTCAAATCTCAGATTAGTTTAAAAATTCTAATAAAGCTGGGAAGATACGTAAAAACAGTGTTTAGTCCCTGTGAACTAGAATTGGTGTCCCAAAGGAAAACTGTTCCCTAAGATTTCTAGTTAAATATATTAGAGAAATATTCCTGTCTTGAAGGTTCATAACGGCCATTTATATATTAATAGTCTCCAAAAGTTCTAGAACTAAAAAAACCTGTTAAATAAAAACATACAAAATACCCAGTATTTATTTGGGGGGGAGTGGTTTCTTTTGTAAATTTTTATTAAAAAAAAAAAACCCAGTACAGTATTTCTAAAACTTAAATAAAAATCTTTTTTTCTTCTCTGTGATGTTTATTTAAAAGCTATATGAGTAGTTAATATAGGGAGGAAGACTAGGTTAAAACATATACTACTCCAGTGACACATTTTATCCCTAAGAGAAATTAACTTTTATTTTTTGGCTAATTGATCTTAAACTCACCCTAAAATTAGAGAAGACTGACTAAGAGGAACAGATATAAGCACACAGATTGATAAGTGGGAGAATGTTAGAATTTAGATCAATAATGTTTCCCAATAGACTCATGTGTTCAAAGATGGGGACTTTTGTAAGGTGCCTGGATCATGGGACACTATATTCACGGGTGGATTAATCTATTGATATGTTCATGGCTGAATGTACAGTTAAGATAGGGCATGGCTGGAAGAGGTGGCTCACTGGGGGCATAACCTGGAAGGGTATATTCATTTTTTGGTTTTTTCTTTCCAGAACCACTACAAGCCTTTATTGTAGGGACAATCAGGAGGGCTGTCTCCTCAATCCAAGGAGAGAGAGCAGTATGGCAGAACACAGAGCTTCTTTTATACGACTGGGGTGGGGTTTACAGAAGCTGGGGTGGAGTTAAAGTAGTATTCAGGGATTGGAGGAGCCTGTGACATCACTGGTTACTCAGAGGTAGCAAGTATTTGGTTACTTTTTGGCGGAAGAGGCATCATGGCAAGAAGGCTGGCCTTTGGAAGGTGGAAGAAGCCATCTTTTTAGGTGAGAAGCAGGGCATTACGGAAAGGGAAGTAACGGCCCTCTTAAGGGCGAGGGAAATCTGACATTCCAGGCTTTTGTTTTATGGTTATTTTACGGTTATTGGCTGAAGGTCTCTTCTTCTGGAGCTGCTTTAAACTGACAAAGGGGCTAAGTTTGGGGCTAAACCTGGATCTGGTGGGGGCAGCAATAGGTGGGGGCTTCTTCCCGCTACCACAGTGGCTGATACGGAAGGGTATATTCTTCCTATTCCCTTCCTCTCTCTGGCTTTCTCTTAGTTACTTCTTCATTGCTGGAACCTGATACTCAAGGCAGGATGACAGGGCAAAGAGATACCACAGACAAACAGTGCATGGCAGGGCAGGCAGAAAAAAAGCAGCAAGTGACACGTAGCAGTAGTAGTAGTAGTAGCAGCAGCAGCAGCAGCAGCAAGCCTCCCTTTCTTCTTTATCCCATCTAGGCTACAAACCTTCTGGGTGATACCACCCACATCCAGGGTGGGCCTTTCTATTTATCCACTCCCGGAACTATGATAAACTAATTAGTGGACTAATTCAGTATTACACACCTTAATAAGAGTATCACATAAAAAATGAGAACCAAGACCTGCCATGTAAAGGTACAAAATCCAAATAATGAATGTAACTGTACTGTATACCTAAAATGTACCAATAAACTCAACGAGGAAAAAAAAATACAATTTTTTTCTACA